TGAGTTTTACTTTTTTCTTTTCAATTCTCTCTCCCATCCACTGTGGGGGGGAGCAAGCGAACGGCTGTGTGGTTGTTTTAGCTGCTGGCTGGGGGAAACCACGACAGACTTGTCCTCCCTGCCTGACCCAGAGCCACAGCAAACACCAGGGCATCAGCCACAGCCGGTGCCCTGGGGCCTGCAGAGAAGGTCCCCGGTGCAGAGCGACCCACGCAGGTGAGTTACTGGGCTGTTCACAGGGTTACCTCCTGCTAGTTGTCACGTTTCAATAAAGCACTTTGGGGGATACAGCTTTAATGCAGCTCCCCTTTCTGAGAACAGTGTCTCTGCTGTCCAAGGGCAGCTTCAAGATCTTAATAGTTACTGCAGCTTCACCATACCTGTGTCTATCGTGAACCGTGTTCCCCAGAATAGTCTGAGCTCTGTTACATGGTTTATTTTGTCCTGTCAGAGAGACAGACCACAGTGTCCTGCCCAGCAACAGCCCTCAAGCATGTCTGTGGCCAGGTTTCTTTACTTATCGTGTCTTTTTCTTTGCTCCAGATTTTTCCTTCTTCCCTTTCTCTTTCTGCTTTGATAGCTGTTTCTCCCACATCTTCCTGAGGGCCTGGTAGGGGCCAAGGTTTCTGCGGACCATTGTACCTCTCCACCACGCCTGCAGCTGCAAGCAAGAGAGAGAGAGAGATCTTAGGGGAAATGCCTTGCTGGGGTACCTGGTACAGCTCAATGGCCAGAGCGCATCTGCACTGCCCAGCTGCAGGAGGGAACCCCTGGCCCACGCAGCAGCAGTTGGGCCTGTGCTGGTTACGCTGGAGGTATCCATGTTTGGGCTGAGGGGATCTGTGGCTGGTGGCAGGGGATGAGCAGGGGAACTGCCCCATGACCCTCCCTGTATCGCCCACGCAGTGGGGCCGGTGTGATGAGCGTGGCTCCAAATCATTCGAGCAGACTGGCTTCTCCCCTTTCGCTCCCTTCTCAAACCTGCAGCTAGCTGCTGGCTTTATGTCTGCCCCAGAAGAAAGGGACAGGCTTTATCTGTCCTTCGCTTGTGCCACCCCACACCAAACAACTTTCTCAGGCTGTTTTCTGCCTGACAAAAGCCCGTGGTGCACATGATTAACTCCCAACTGCTAACAGAGCAGCACTGCCTCTGCTTTGCTTCCCTTTACCTTCAGGATGCTCTTCAGCTCCAGGGCATCCTGCTCTAGTTCTCGTCTTTTGGCCTCCTTTTCCGCCCGGTCACTGATGATAGTTTCCTCAAAAGTCTGGCACTGCAAGATAGCACAGGGGTGATGGCAGCCATGTGAAAAAGACACCCCCTAAATGGTAGGGCCAGCCTTCAAGGATCCCGCTGCCCAGCAGCTTGCCGAGGCAGGGCAGGGCTCACCTGGACCCTGGTGCACGGAGTCTTCTCCTCTGGCTGCCTACTTGTCTCATCCCCACTACCTGCTTCTCACCGCCCAGCCACGGCTGCTCTGGCCCATGGTGGAGGTCCCCATCCTCTGCACCACAGAGCTCCCTGGCAGCCCCAGGGTAATGTGCAAGCACAGACCTTCCTCCCCCACCTCCTGTATTTGATCTTTCCTGAATCCAGACGGCAAATGTTGCTCATTACCACCATCGGTCCTAAGGCACCAAGAGCTGCTGCCAAAGTGAAACCTCTCATGGCTTGATGCAATTAACCCTCTGATCCTGTGCTGTAAAATGGCTGTCTGATGGCGTCTCAGGCAACAGATGGTGGCAGGAAGGACCCGTGCTCCCCCAGGGAAGGTAGCAGATGTACAAACACTTGGAACACTGAGATGACAGTGTACAGAGTGAAAAATGAGCCAAAAAGCAGGGAATCATCTAACTCAGTCCCATCATCTCATCAATGACAGTAAGGAATGATTACAAGGTAATTCCTTCTGGCCTTAAAATGTCCCTTCTTCTAGACACTTCTCCCTGCCCTGTGCTGCCTGCTCCGCTGTGATCCAAGCCCGGCAGTTAACCAAGAAACCAGTGTGGGGCAGGAACAGTTTTAACGGGAATCAGTTCCCTTATAACAGAGCACTGCGTAGCTGTGACTGTGTGTCTGCAGGGAGGGATGAGCTGCCTTTTCCAGTCTCAGCCTGTCTGACCCAGATGTTACTAGAAGGAGCAGATTTGTTCAGACTAAGGCAACAAAGGTGAGCCATATCGATGGGATGGGACAGTGTCTTTGCCCCTCACAAAGGCTGTCAATAGCTCTCTGATTACTTGCTGGTATTTGAAAATAGCTGTAGGGTAAACATCATCATCCCTCCTTGATGTCACAGGTGGCAAATAGAAGATGATTACTCGGTCCCTGCCTTCCCAGGACCAATCCTCATAATCCCATCCTACATGTCAAGATTACTGATTATTTTTTTTCCATGGTCCTGGTTCCTTACCTTTTCCAGGTAGGAAAAAGCCAGGATGCAGTTTTGCATGGCTGACCACTGAGATACTGCTGATGTCTTACCTCCTCGGCAAGTCTCTGCAGCATTTCCAAGTTGTTTGCCTTTGATGCTTTTAGGGCATCCAATTCTTCGTCTTTAGCATCTGTGTCATTTTCGTACTTGTCCACCCAGTATTCCAGCTTCTCTTCCACCTTCTGGATGGGGACAGAGCAGTGCTCAGCATGGTACAAAGAGTGTACAGGGGAAAGGTTTGCTACTGTTATCTGGCCTGCTTTCAGAATGGTGGTAAAAGTCCCGTAAATTTTGCATGGTCAGTGTTTCCTTCTTGTCTAAGCCTTGAAAGGGTCAAACCCCTAGGACTGCTGATAAATTACTGGTGGGCTGCAGTCCCCTCTCTGGGGCTTCACCATGGAGGCTGCAGCACTGGACCGGGGATGAAGAAAGGCTGGGTTAGGCTTTCAGAGGTGCACATGGAATGGAGAAGCGCTGGGGGTTAGCCTTGTGCACAGTCCTGGTGAAGTAAATGACAACCAGAAGCCATTCTTTGTTTCTGTGCAGAGGGAGGGGGTGTTAAGAAACAGAATTTGACAGTGAGAAAGCTTTTATCCTCTGCCTGACTCCCTGCCCACTTTCTGGATTAAACTCCACGCACCAGGAATAAGGTCTCAGGGGACAGCACTTTGCACAATTTCAGGTTGTGAACTTGGCTTTGTCTCACTGGTGAATAGGAGGGCAGGTGTTGCTGAAACAGTCACCCATATGACTTCCTCCCATTCAGAAATAACTTCTCCATAGCAACAACCATGTCTGCCTGCATGGGAAAATAATCTGAGGAAAAGCATCGATCTCATTACGGCATCAGAGCTGGACACACAAGGGAGATGGGGGCATGGTCACCCTCTTCTCTGTGGGCTCCTCTAATGCCACCAGCTGCTGTCTGAGCAAAGAGGCTTGCACGTTGTGTTCTGCTAGAGGTCAGATAGGCTGCGGCTTGTACTTGGAAAGTCCCCTTGCTATGAAGTGTTGATCAGACTAAAGTGCCAGGATATGGAGGACAGTATTTAATTGCTCTCAAAATACAGCACTTTTTTGCACTCAAATTACAGTTTTAAAAATTTATTATCTTCTATTAAATTTTGTACTGGCAGCAATGTTAGGTACCCTGCAGTAGTACAGGTTTTTTTCCAGTCATATAGTTTATAAGATGCTTTCCAGTGTTATTCACTGCAATGGGCACTGCTGGTGGTGACAGGAAAGCTCTGAACCTTTGGATCAACAGCACAAGGACATTCACAGTTGTTTGCTGCTGAAAATGGGTACAATAATTGTGAGTCAGCAATTATCCAACCCTGACTCCCCCTCACATTAAGACGAGGCAAAACTGGGCTGGCAGTTTGTGTCATTTCCTCCTTCGTGCCCCCTCTGTGCAGCACTTGGCTCTGTGAAACTTTGTGCAATAGCACTCCACTGAGTCGCTGGGAGCCCCAGCTATGCCAAAGAAGGTCTAAATAAACTTCCAATTAGCTGAATACAACTACCTGAGGGAGGAAAAATCCCTAACACCTGAATAAACAATGCCAATCATTACATCAATTTTACTTTTAAGGAAATGTATCCAAATGTAGTAAATCCCAAGTCTGGGAGAGCTGGGTTAATTAAGACTTGAGGACAAGTAGTCATTCAAACAGCAGCAATCAGGAACCTGGTAAATTTGATGGAGCAATAACTGGTTTTCTTTAGGCACTAACTGATGATGTAATGTTTATCGGTTGCTATCTGAAGCATTAGCAGAAAGTCACACGCACCTTATGGTGTTGCCTGAGGAAATTTTCAATCTCCACGTGGACTCGAATCTCCTCATCAGTTTTGCTCCTCAACGTCTGTGATCAGTGCAGACAGAAAACATAAGATATGTTAGCGCACACACGTGTGCATACATGCGGTGCTGAAAGCTGAGCTGGTGAGCAAGAGTGCAGGAGCTCTCTGTGTAGTCCACAGACATTTTTCCCAGTGACAAAGCTAACGAAGGAGGACTCTTTCCTTACTAGCTGGAGATACCTGCCAGCAGGGGCCGTGGGGAAGGGCTTACCTGAATTTCCTTGTCCAGGAGATGCTCTGCATTGCTGCACTTCTTCTGGGTTTGGTGGACCTGGAGGTCTGTGCTGTTCTTCATGTAGCAGCTCTCCATGTTTGTTTTGGCCTTCGTCTCTTGGAGCTCGTCTTTGAGGAAGGCAATCATATTATCTCGGTTCTAGTGGAGGAGACCAAAGCGGCACAAAAGCAAGCCTGGAGACTGAGGTCAGCCCACTGTTTCTTAATCTGTTCACTCCCTGATAAACTCAGAAGAGACAAGGCTATAGGCTTCACACTTTCCTTGAATGTTGCTCCATTTCAACCTCTACTTCAAAGGGAAGTTTGTTTTGTAAACCCATACAGAAGGCAATAAACCCATCAGAGTGATTACCTCTGGAGAGGGTAATGAACAGAGTGGGACAAGAAGGCAGACCTTCTGGTCTCTGGTCCAGGAATGGATTCAGTCATGCTTATTATAAGCACGAAAGAAGCCAAATAATTTCAACTGCTTAAAGCTAGGCTTTACTAACCTCTTGGATTAGGCTGTCTCAATGAGTGAGCATCTGTAAGAGGAGGATGATGCCTCAGCCTCACATATGCCAAAGTTTGATTTCCTAAAGTGTACTCTATTCCTTGGATTCTTTTTTTTTTTTCTAGTTATGCAGCAACTGTATAAACACAACCTTCAGAACAGGTGAAAATCTAATCTTGTCTCACTCATATGTTTAAACAGTTCTTTCTTGAAATCTTACCAGGTAGATGGTGCCCACTTTGATATAAATGCATACATCCAGGGCAAGGAAGAAGTGCCAAGGAAAAGCTGGCTGTGAGCATCCAGCCTCTACCCAAGCCTTGTTTCACAATGGAGCTGAGCTTTCCTGGGGGAATTCTGTCCCTGGGAGCTCCCCCATGGGCAAGAATCCTGAGCCAACATGCCCCATTTACTCAGCTTTTGGAGTGTGCTCAGGAACAAAGTGCATTTGCTTGATTTGGGATTGTTGTTTTGTTTACTCCTTTTTAATGAAATTGAGTAACAGATAAAAGTTAATTAATCTCGGGTTGGAACTTGGAAGAACAGCCTGTAAAATGAAAAACTCTAGACTTTTGTATTAAGAGTTAAAAAGGTCATCAAAGTCCACCATGCAATTATGCAAGATCAATCTTAATGCCTCTGGTTTGGTCCCTGATTGCTCCATTACAGCCTTTCTCTTTGCTTTCCTGCCATGCTATGACAGATCTGACATTCAGCAGCCAAACCTTGCAGCTGAAAATGAAATACCAAAGGGCTGGCATTTAAATGTTTCAAAGCCCACATATCTTGTCTCTGAAGCACCCTCACATTCCTTAGCTCTGTAAACATGGAAAAATGCCACAGGAAGAAGCCAGCTCAATAGTGCTGTATTTAAAAGCCTATGCAGCATGACTCATTTGGAAAAGGTTTCCTTGTAAGAATTTGGAACAGTTAAAAGGAAAATCCTTCCCATGCACCCCTTGTCGGACATACCTAGGAAAAGTATATTTATAAGGCTCAGGACAATTAGGGGCCTTGGCTGGTTTGTGGGTTTGAAAGTCATGCATTGAAAGTTTTTTGAAGGTTTCCAACGTCAGGTATTATTTTACGGCCATATCGTCATATGACTGCAGACAGCTACAGACATGACCTATTTATGCCCTATCAAGGTTTCTTGTAATGGTCTTTGTTTTCCCTGCTGTTAAATTTTTGATGGGCACTGGGCGGGGTTGTGTTCCTGGTCAGTAGACATGGGAGGTGACTGTACCACTTCATTTTGAGATTGTCCTCCCTGTATCGTGGTGGAATCATGTCTAAATTGAGGGGCTGGCAGACAGACTGGGGAGATGCTGGGGAGTGAAAAACACTGATTTTTGTGGTGCTAGGGCTCAAGAAAGCAAAGCACTGCTGATGTCAGTGTGTTACTGCCATCTGCTAAGGATCTGCAAACAGGTCAGAAAAGAAGGGTTCAGCCTAGGTTATAAAGTACTCAGATATTAGAGAGGTGGGGCAGAGCATGAATGCTTCACCAGGTTATTTTCTTTTTCATTTCATATTTTAGTAAAGTGGAGGAAAAAGCGCTTTGGATTCCAGCACCCCGGGCCTCAGCCAGGGTGCAGACCCATCTGCTCTGTTTGTTTTCTTTGTTGTATGGCACGGTTGTGGTTTGGATTTGGTCTGTGGTGTTGTAAAACATCTTCATTAGAGGTGGGGAGTCTGGGGGCTTGGTTACACAACCCAAAGCAGACGGGAAGTAAAATGCAAAACCCTACGGCTGGTTTACAGCTACGCATTTGCTTGGAGAAGGAAAGTCAGTTGCAGGCAGCTACTGCAGCCCCAGCTGTTGATAGACCTGGCACTGAAGAAATAAGGCACATTTGGTATTAGGCTGCAGGTAGCAAATTCAACAGTAAATTCTCCAAACCTGTGGGCACCATCTGTGGTGTGTGCTGTTCCCTGAACTTCAGGGACAGGCACTGGGAAAATGAGTTAATATTTATTCATTCTGGTTTATCATAGCAAAGGTCCCAGCCAGGATACGGCGCGCTTTCATAGTTAATGCAGTAAACCTCTGAGCTGCTTCTCTGGGATGACTTCAGCATTGAATCTGCCAAACCAAAGATGCAAAATCATATCTCATGTGGCCAAAACTATCACAAAACTGGCAAAGACCAAGATCAAAACCCAGGAAATAGTTGTCAAGAGCCAGTCTGCTTTGCAAGCAGGTAAACAAGCTGATTTTCTCTGATCTCTCAGCTCACAGACATCAGCTCAGAGGCCCGTCTGCTGCTGTTATCCGGTGCCATAGGAGTCTGCCCCACAGATGCTGTTTGGCTGCAAAAGCAACTGCACTTAGCTGGAGAGGGTATGCGCACTCCTGTCTTTTCATTTACTTTGATTTATCTCTCTTGTAAGTGCTGCCTAGATCTCTCAGCTCTTCCACAGCAATTAGAATTTACAGTCACTTAAAATACAGCTGGTTACAAATAGCAAACAGGAGTAAACAGTCCCAGGAATTCCTCCAGGGTCAGATAACCCCCCTGCCGCCAACAGCATACCCAACGCCCGCCATTTGGCAGGCACTTGGAGGGGGCAGGGGAAGGGGTGCTGTGCTACGTGCAGGCAGCGAGCATGCCGGCAGACAGCCCTGCTGCCTGCCTCCTTGCTTCCACACCCAGTGCGTATGAGCTCAAGTCTTGCCACTAGCAGCTGCACTATCTCAGCTTGCAAAGCCTGAAGATATGCTTAGATCTACACACCTGCTGCAGCCTGGACTTGCTTCCCCTGAAACCACAACGCACAGCCCTACGGACAGTACATTAAGGCCGTAGCCCGCATCTCTGTCCTGGCTGCCAGATCATCCCCATGCTGCACGCCCCCGACAAATGCCTCAGCCGAAAGGGCAGCAGGCCTGGAAGGTCACCCAGCCTCAATATTACGGCATCTGCAGCCCTCTGCTAGCTCACCTCCAATCTCAGCAAAAGCGGAAATGAGCTCTGCGAGGGGCAGTTTGTTGGCAGAGGGAGCAGACCTGCTGTTGCCTACAGCACTCTTGTCGAAAGTCCTGTCCCTCTGGAGCCAGGTTTGGACCAAGCACTCCAGGTTCTGCTGAGCTGCCTTAGGGCTGTGCCAGCAGAGGAATGAAGTTGCCCAGGAACTGAGGACCATCGCAACCCTCATGCCTGCTACTGTAATCGCCTGGTGCATTTTTCCAGTAGAAACATGCACCAGTGGGTGTGTAGATATGTTTAAAACATCCCCCCAGAACATTTCATTAATGTATTTGTCCTCCTGGGAGAGGATAAGGGAAGCAATGTGACAGATTTCAGTCATGCTACTAAAAGCACTACCGAGTGGCATGCTGATACAGTGGAGCTGGGTGTGTTATGACAGTCCACATAGAATAAAAGTTACGGACCTGTTTTCACTGTTACTGTAGTGCAATGTCTTGGTTTTCTGTCTGGTACGTAGCCTGCAATATTAGTGCTTGTTAAATTATATCATGACTTGCACACATGTATGGTATAAGTATACCACAAAACCTACAGGACATAAAAAGTCTTTGGGTGAATAGCAATGCAGGAATTCTAAAGTTTACATTTCCTAAATTTTTATGTTAAACTATATAACATATACCATATTAACGTGTTTCAAAATCTGTACAGACTGCCATCGCTTGTCCACAAAACTGGAGAAAGTGAGTATTTTTGTACAAGCTAGAAAATGAACACTGCAGCAGCAAACAGAACTCCTGCAGCCAAACTGGAGCTATCAGCGATGCTCCTGCACAGAAGGGTAAGAGCAAAACCAGAGCAATCATTTCAGCTCCTTTAGGGACATCAGTGCTTTCCAAGAGGAAAGAAAACAAAATAAATAAGAACATTTAGCATTTGATTTGTGTTCCATTAGAAAGAAAAATGAGCTGAGCAGGCTACTACAGCATTAATTAGCATCTCATTAAGAGCTAGCAAGGCTGAAAATACAAACATACAGGCAACATGTGTGAAGCAAAGACCATGTTTTTCTGGTTCTGTGATTAGATTTGCTCGCTTTTGTTTTCTCATCCACTAGACTGGAGACACCCATGTAGGCTTTTGTCTACAGGTCTGTGCATTATTATTGTTCAAAGTACTCCAAAATCAGCAAGCTGTATTTTTGTTTTTAATTAGTTGGCAAGGTGACAAATCATGCAAGTGTCTGTAAAACTGCCTATGGGAAAATCCCATATGAAGAGAATAGAAATTATTCTCCCTTGGGAGACACAGTGAAACACCATTATTTTTGGCACAGGAGGAAAGCACTACTTGAAAGTAGTCTTGTCTTTGATTTGTTATCAAAGCTGAAACTATAAGGAAGCCCAGAGAAGGACTTTTAAGCTGGAAACACAAAATCCCAGATGAGCGCAGATCCCACTTGATGAGGCAAAAAGCAAGAACCAAATTAGCAGAAGGTACTGACAGAACACGGAGAAGAGCATTCTCTCAGCACAGGAGGTACGCACCTTCCTATGACTGCAAGAGGTAGGAGAGGTGCAGGGCAGGAGACAGAGAAGCGCCTGACAGCACAGTGCCAGGACATTGCTGCCAGTGCGAGATGGGATGATTGCAGCGCCTTATACACCAGTCCCTGGGAAGGCATTGCACCAGAACCAGGTATGTATGCTGGGTGCGCAGACAACGTGAGGTGTGAGGAGCACTACACAGAAGGAGAACTGTCTCATCATATACACTAGTTTGGGGAGTGGGAGAACAGGAACTTCCCAGGAGCCATGAGAATCTGACTGAGAAGGGACAATGTGCAGAAGCAGACAACATACAGTCTCTGAGCCTGACGAACTGTCTAGCTTATTTCATTTCACTGCCACACAGATGTCAAGGGACTTTTGGGTTGTCCCATAGGGGCTGAAAATAGGCTCCCATACCATTTCCAGTGCCAGTAAGTATGTATTGAGGTATACAGCTCCCCTTTTCAGTCCTGGCTCTGACCTCTACATCCTGTAGATGTTCTGCTCAAATCTGTAGGGAAGAAAAGTTTGTCCTTCGTTTTGATTTTAGTTCCCACAACTGTTCTTTCTTGGTTTGTCTCCTAACTTGCTATCTTTCCATTTCCTTCTGTGACTCCTCCTCTTTCTCCTCTTTGTTATGTCCACAGTTCTTTGCTGTTCTAATGTCTCCCCTGGACCTCTCATGTTTCATCAGTTATAGATAGCTGCATATGCTACCAGTGCCAATAGATCCTTCGTGTTCTTACAACCATCCTGTATTTACAATTAAACTTTTCACTACACATGCATCCAGGCTGCCAAACCAAAACCTTAATCTTCTATAAACTGTATTTCACCAGCACGTCAGTGGCTTAAAATTCCTCTGTAGCCAACTATATACTGGCTTGATCACTGTCCACTCCTGTTCGAAGACAAAACTCAGTGATACCATCTCTCCTCAGATGTCCTTGCTGTCCTCTTGCTCAGTACTGAACCAAGTGTCAGATTCTTGTTCCTTCTTTCAGTCCTTGTATAGCTGTGAACCTATCCGCCTTTTGCTTGTTTTCTATCACACACTCAGCCTCAGCAGGGCTAGACTACATTTTCATGTTTCTGTATAGAACTGCGTGTGCTTTTGCTCTGAAGCACACAAGAGCATCAAGGTTGAGCTGTCTGGTGAGCATCAAAGTGACCAGGGATATGTCATTCAATCGATCTGCACTTGTGTAGCAAGTCTGACATGTCCAGAATGCCCCAGATTTACTGTGCATGCACACCCCGTTTGCATACTGCAGTCAGAAGGGCTGAAGCTTTCCAGAAAGAGCAAGTTGACAGTGTATGTGCAATAACATTGATCCGCCCTTGTGTAGGACTTCCATGTTTGGGATTTTCTAATATCTGGAAGCCTAGGAAAATAGATTAAAATCATGACATTTTCCCCAGACAAAATTTTAGGTAGAAAAATGACATGCCCCTATGCCAGCTTTATTTCCTTCTCACTCCCTCATTGTCACACTTTCTTCTGTGCCAGGTGTCACGTCTGCATGAGTAAGTACAACAGAACCTTAGATACTGCTATCTGCAGATAACCTCTTTCTCACTGACTGCAGCTGCCTGTGCTTTGCCACTCCCAGCAATGGGTTTGGGGTATTCTAATTTGATCATGGGTTCTCCTGATTATGAGCATTTTGAGCTCCCATTTGAAAATCATCGGACACTGCTCTTAAAGTCACTAGCAGGCTTATTTAGAATACAAATCTTTATTCCAATTATTCTACTTCTATATTCCTAAATGATGGATCATTATATATGCCACACGTCCTCTCATCTGAGTGCTAGTTCCTGGGCAGTGGAGGCAAGCTTGCTAACAGGCTTCCCCCCTGGCGTGATGCCCAGTGCTAAGTGATCTCACCTGAAGTTCTATTTCAGTTTCTTTCTTGACATCTTGCAGCTGTTTCTGGAGTGACTTTATCTCTTTCTTTCCTTCCTCCTCCCTGAAGAAAAATGGGAGAATGCAATCATTTGAATATATCAAAAAAAGACAAGAGCTGTTTACCTAGAAGGGGAACTTCCTGTCTCCTGATACATTGCACCTATCTGAACACTGCCCCACTTATCCTGCTTGCTCAATGAGTTTCTAACAGCTGAACTAAATGAAGTGGACACAAAAGCTTGGCCTGCTTCTTTGGACCAGGAGAAGACAAGCTGCTTCTGTGGCTGAGTAGCAAAAAAGGCATTCTCCTCTTCACTCTGAGCCTTAAGGAGGCAGCACATCCGCAAGTCAGAAACAGAGACTTCTCACCAAAGCTAGTGACTTGGTAAGTAAATCCTGAAAGAAGAGGTGTATGCAAGGAGGATGGGAGTGAAAGGGAGAATGAGCCAAAAAACAGGGGATGCTCTTGCTGAAAACCTGGAGTGGACTTGAAGATGATGTGATTCCTATAGCAGGGAGGGAAAAGCCTATCATTGAGCGACAGTTTCTGCACTTCAGGCAAAAATCTCCATTTCTGTTCAGAAGCATGCCTGATCAGCAGACAGTGCCAAATTGTGTAAGTTTCATTATACGTATGGAGAATGTTTTTTTTTCATATTGGACCTAAAATCATTCAAAACTCACTGCCTCAGTTTCTGAGATCCAAGAAGGAATATGAGCAAAGGCCAAAAGCTAGAGAAGTGTTTACCTGTCTAAAACAAAGCAGATGCTGTAATGTTCTAGATCTTACTATCTTATTTCACTCAAGGTGCTTTTCTAAGTTTTTATGCTTATGATTTGATTTAAAGCCAGTAAATACTATAGTTGGTACCTCAGACTTACAACCTTATAATCAAACACACATTTCATTTTTGGAGTCCTTAGCTGGGTGACTGTGATAAACAGAAGAGTTCCAGTCTTACTGCAGGCTGCTTTCAGACAAGTATAGTGACACAAAACCAGACAAGTATATATTCCATTGAAAGACAGATCAAGTTCATTCCATGAAAAGAATGTATAGTAAAACAGCCAACATGGATGGAATGGAATAAAAAAGGATTATGTCCTTTCCAATTATAATTTGTCTGCTCCTTTCCACCTTTCCAGTATTGGGTAGTTTTTCCACGAGCAATTGCTGCTTTCATTTTTGCTTTCTGTCCCTTCCATGGATAAATAATGAATCCCTCGGTTTTAGACAGAGGAAGAGTTTGTTTTTGTGCTTGAAATCACGCATTTCACGGGAAGCTGGGGACTTGCCCTGGAAGCAAACCCTTGAGCCACCACTGGAGCTGTTACAGTAGGTTGGACTCATGACAAATCATGACTTACAGCAGCTTTGCTGTCTACCCTAAATGATGGGCCTGAGCTACTGCACAGAACAAAGTAGCTTTAAAATGGTCAAATACTTCTCTGATGACTGCTATTTTCTCTGACAGGCTTGGGATTGAACCAGACCTTCGCATGCTAAAAAAACCTCCAAACCTCTAGTGCAGAGGAGTCTGAGCTAAAGAATCACCAGTTTGAGTTGAGATGATAACAAATCCACACCCTGTAAGATTTGGGGCAGAAGAGGATCTATAGTGCAGTGGCTGGTGGATTAGCCCTAAATAAGACAACTGCCTCTGTCACCATCTGTGCTAGCCCCTCGCTGCTGCTGGGAAAAGGGAGCATATTAGCATATGGGTCAGAGCAGATTCTCCTGGGCATCACATAACCTAAAGACCATATGTTGCTGGCCCTGGTTTGAACAGATTCTCTGCTGCTCTGCCTTTCACTGGGGACCAGAATTAAAGATCAGGGAGCTCCTACATCACATTATGTTTTAATTGATCTGGGGCAACATTTGCATTAATGCAGACATTGGTGCCCACTGTGGTCAAAGCTCAGGCAATTCCTAACTCAGATCAGTATCAGAACCATGAGTTATCTCATTCTGAAGAGGAAAGGAGTGCAGTTTGTAAAGCAGACAGAATAATTCAAGTTGAAAAAGCGGAGTCCTTTCTGTATTTTGTTGGGTTGTTGGGGTTTTTTTCCTTTTTAGCCTGTACTGAGCAGGAATTGGCTTTGGCTTTCACCAATTAAGCAGGGAAGTACTGAACACAATGCTGACCTGATGAGGATGTCATGAAACTTGCTCTTTTTTGCCTTCTCCCTCTCATTAGCTTCTGTTAGGCTATTAAATGTTCCCAATTCCTGCATCTTTTTCATAGTGACGGTAATTACATCATTTGCATACTGCCTGCCAGGAAGAAAAGGAACACACAGTAATTTATAAAAGCTAGTACAACCATGTCTGGCACCTTCATCCATTATTGTTTACAGCTAAAAAGGTAAGGAAATATAAGATCCCATTTCTGTTCTTACGTCCTATCAAACCCAGGAGGGCTTCTCCCATGGTATCTGCTTCTTGTACGTCTGGAGAACTCTGTATTAGGACTTGGTTGAAGTTTATAATTTAAAAATTCTGCCCTGAATGCTACTCTAGGAAATGGCAAAGAGGCACAAACATATCCATGTTGTGCCAGACTGTGCTGCCATTAGGAAGAAGGCTGCTGGCCTGCAGTAGTGATGACAGATAGGTGGACCTTGGAAAATGAGACCTGGGGATGCAGACAAGTGTGTCTATGAAGGGATATCTGGGTGCCAAAATATCCCAGTACAGCCCTAAACTGATCTTAACAAATATATGGACTTGCCCAGTTTATTGAATTTCATGGTGCATATGGTATTTATATTTTAGCTGCATTTTCCTCATTTTTGTGAGGATCTTCTTAAAGCCTTTATTGAAATGACATTAAAGGACAGAAACCAGGATGCAGAAAAATGCATACCGAATGCTCAGCTCCCCAGTCTGCCTTTTAAACCAAAGGCTGCTAGTATTTCTGCAAATCAAGGCACTGGATTAGGTGCAGGAATAAACTTTATTTATTAAAAAAATCCCCTATTTGTTTTTTATACACATTATCTGTTTTATAAAGGAGAATAACTGTAGCTGTCATAGAGGCTCTGTGTGCCCTGCAGAATAACCAAGTTCACAAGACAATGCTCAGATCTCGCTTTGCCTGTACATATCTGCTAGGGGAACCTGACTCCAGATACCAGAACATCACCACTGGCTAGTACCTGGCATGAATTCCACCCAAGCATTATCAACTAGGTAATATTTTGCAACGCCATTCAAAATAAACTGATTGTCATTACTCAGCATCGAGGCAAGCAAAGGGCAGAACTAAATGGCCTATGAAGCTAGACACCACTGCTCTCTTTAGAGGTGTTCCTTCCAGACCAAGACTGAAGTACACCAGCAGTGGGAGAGTGGGAAGCTTGTATTTTTGCTTTCAAGAGATAAGACTGACGACTTTACAGCCCTGAGCATCCCCTAGAGCCATCATATTTGTGCTTCACTCACCTGTCAGCCTGAATTTTTCTGAGATTCTCTACAGACAGAGCACTGTGTTTCACAGCCCTGCTGGAAAGATGAGGGACATTTTTTTGATGTTCAGTTTTCCCCAGCTGCTGCTTGTGTTCGATGCTTTTCAGAGATGTGGAGGTAACTGTTTCCCCATTCCCTTGCCTTGCTGACATAAGCTCTTGGTAGTTAATGTCCAGCTCCTTCTGGGTCTCTATGATTTCTTTCATTTCCTGGCTGCTAGTCTAAAAGGGAATAAGAGACACCTGCTTGCACATTAGGCAGTAGAAATAAACCTTCTGCAACATTATGTGAAAGGAAGAAAAATTAACAATAAACTAGAATGAAGCTATACTAAGAGCAGTTTATAGTGTTTGTTTCTGCTCTTCTACTCTTTGCAGACTCTTATCTTGGTTAGCTTTGAGCACATAATATAGGCTTATAAAGTTTATGGCATCAAAAGTCCTAAAGTAACAGGACTAGAAAAGGCCTCAAAAAGTGAATTCATCTGCCCCAAAAGATGATGGTTCAGACTGTCATTCCTGGTATGTTCTTAATGACCTCCAGCAATGGAGACTATGCATCCTCCTGCTAATGCCAGCACATCACAACAGTCTTTACTATGTGATAATGACCTCCAGCAATGGAGACTATGCATCCTGCTGCTAGTGCCAGCACATCACAACAGTCTTTACTATATGAAAGATTTTTCTCCTCAGCTGCAGTTGAGCCCCTGGTTTCTTGTCCTAATCTTCATAGGGACAGTGAACAAATCATTCCTTCCTTCTTTGCAGCAGCTTTTATATATTGGAAGACTGTCAGCCTCTTTCCCCTCCATCTCAGACATTTCCCACTGCTTCTCACCACAACCCTTCCCTACAATATTATTGTTATAACCAGAGCTGAGATGTGTGGAAATTAAAGTGATAGACATCAGCTATCTGCTTAGCTGGTTTTTTTGAGAGAGTGACAGCAGAGAAAGTGTAACATGAATTGAAAGAAGAAATTAAAAATACTGGCAACTCTCTTCTACATGGAAAGGTATCTTGTGGCCATGTACAATTTTACCAGAAAAGCAGAAGCACACTATAAAATAGCTGAGGCCTTGCTTCTAGGAATTTCTCTGCTTTATGTCCTATGGGTAAGAATGCAGGTGTATACACTGGGACGTTAAAAGATAAAATTTTCCTTCCCACCAACTGGCATCTCTGTGGCTGAACACTTAATAGCAGTACCACTGAAGCGAGCTAACACAGTCACTGCCAGCCCCATCCTAGTCCATAGCTGCCTACTCTCCACCCTGGCTGCTTGGAGAAATGGATTAGAGAACTCACTGACCTGAAACCTTTTCCAGCAAAAGGAGGGGGAAAAAAAGGTTATTTTTAGCAACACCAGTTGTCAGTCCAGATCCCTCCACCACCACACACACGTTTGTGCCGACACAGCACAGAGGGCAGAGTGAAAACAAGCAGTCAGGGCAGCAAGTCTGTGTGCCAGTAGTATTTGCAAGAAGTTACTTGTCAGGCCAGACTCCCTTAGTGGCCTGCGATGCTGCCGCAGTCCGTGGGGCACTGTGAAAGGCGTTGCAAGGGGCCGCTTCGTTCTGAGTATCTTGGACACCTACAGGTGGGAGGAATCAGCCTCTGGCAGTGCCTGACTCGCCACTGACTACAGAAGGAGTCTAGGTGACTACATGCTTAATTTTTGGACAGTTACATTTAAATTAATGCCATGCAAAGTATACACAGACCAATGAAAATTACATAGTTAATTAGAAAAAAAAGGGTTTACATAGTTTTCTGGTGATGGCTGTACTTCAGAAAGAACCCCTTTTGGCAAACAAACTGCTTTAATATCATGTAGATCTTATGAATGTTCTGATAGATGTTTTCTAATGTCTGGGAAAGTTCAAGACAAGCTATAACTGGATTGTCTGTAAACAGCAGGGACTTACACGCTAATAATTACCAAATAACTATGTAAGAGCAAGGAGTTTGTAAACTGCCTGTGTTACTATCTGTGTAGCCTTCTTGCTGTTTATCTTTTGCTACTCTTTTGCCCAAAATTCAGCAAATAGAAAGTCTGCCTTCCTCTGGGGGAAGCAATGTACAAGAGTCCCTGATGTGGAAAATCAATGAGGTGCTGGCCAACACTGTGATTAATCCTCTCAAAAATGTCATCAACTGAAATTTAGATGTCAGTCTTTGAAAATGTCATTGATTTGTTTGCCTGACAGAGGTCCAGGGTGTTTTGCAAATACAGGTCTTCTACAAATACAGTAACAAATGTAAACTGAAGAATGGGGAGGAGTAGCAAAGTACAAAGCACCAAATTTAGCAAGTAGCTTCCCAAAGCCATTTTCTTGTTTCTAAATTGTTTCCTTCTCAATTTGTTTTGTCATCTTCAAGAACACAAATAGGGCTTACAGGCTGTAAGAAAATTGTGTTTTAAGTGACATGGAAAAAATTAGCATCTGTGATTGAAGAGAAAAGATAAAGTGTTTTCTCTATAATTTAAGCATACCTTTAGCAGGTCTATCAACCTGAGTCTGAGTGTCTGAAGGAGACAACTCCTATCGGCCTGGAGCTATGCTCTTTCTCTATGTTTTTTGCTGCTGGCACATCAGAAGTTTCCCACCCAGCTCTGTGAGGGAGAAGCATCCTCTGGAAACAGGTGAGGCTGGCTCAGAGGGCTCTTTTAAGGGGAGGAGTGCCCTCTATTGCACAGTCTAAGCATCGTTCATACCCTGAAATTTACTGGAACACCAGCTTCTGCTGCTTTGCAGCATGGATTTTTTTGAAAAGAAGGTAGTATGGAAAGGAACTGGGTAGAAAAACAACAGATTGGTTTACCTTCCTCTTGCATTCTTAAACGGTACATTAGTGTGAACAGCATTAGATCTGAAAACTTGGATCCTGGGCTTTATTTCCATCCTGCTCACACATTTTTTTTCTTGAGTTCCTCTTAAAAAAGAGCTTCAAATCTGCTTAACCTGGAAGCAGCCTGCCATGACTTACAATATATGAGAACAGAACTTAAACCCATTTACCCCATGGTCCCATCCTATTTCCTATGTCTATCATGTACATTAACAGCTACCAGAAATACCACAACACCTTCCTCCACAGCAAGAAACCTCTGCCTGAGCATTAGTGCTTCTTCTCTGTTCTTTATACCTCTACCCAAACCCACTCAGCAATGATGCCTATTATAAATCAACTAATTAATAATGATCACTGAGAATGGGTAGTTACTAATACATTTTGAAGTGGAATCTTTCTTCATTGTATGAAGGGACAAGAGGAGCTTTAGCGTGGACTTACAGAAGAAAAGAATTACCCTGGGGTTTTTTACCCTTTTAAATATCCTATTTATTAGTATTTTTAAAATAGCTATATATCTACATAAGAATTTACATATGGTTTGCTTTCTTTTCCCTAATCTTTTGCTTGTCATCTAACCACTGAGATTTTAAAATTATAAGCCCAGGAACCTCATCTTGGGTCAGTAGGGTACTTTGAACAAAGGCTTCTCAGTGATGCTGCAGCATAAATATTAAAATGGGTCATCCATGCACTTTTATTGTGTTTTGTCACCCAACAGTCATGGAGCACTTTGCAGAAAAAATATCTGAGTTGATTTTTTAAAAATGCTGCTAGAAGACATAAAACCAAGACAAGAAGAAAACCAAGAGAGATTTCTTTAAAGATCAAGGATAGAGGCACATACATGGCTGATGTCTGTCTTGCCTGTGTATGAAACCGGAATGATATACCGAAGAATTGAGAGCTGATCAACACAATTCTCCAGCACAGCAGTAAACAGCAGAGCTTCCAGATGAGTGAATTTTTCCATTTCTTTAGTGTCTGTGCTCTGGCTAAGAGGAACAAAGACAAAAGATACCAATGAGAAAGACAGTATGGTGTTAGTAACAGTAGTTTAAACTAAAGATAGACCTGAAATAGCCTTATTTGCAGGCTTTCATATGCTTCCCTAGCTTTGTTTATAGCCTTTCATACACTGTTTATAAGAAGAGCCATGCTCTGCTAATGGCTGCATTCAGGGACAGTGGGAATGTTTAGCTTTCACAAAACAAAGTAGGTCCTGGTCCCTCCTACAGCAGATCTGGGTAGATAGATAGGCTGAGAAGGGAACGGATATGGAAGGCACAAACTGGGTGGTGGCCTCACCATTCAGACCTCTGTTGTTCTGTTTCATACCAGACTTTGTTCTTTAGGAAACGATGGAATGAAGGTGCCTTTTTAAAAGGGCAAAAAAAAATCCACACCTGTTATAAAATTTCAGATGGTGACCCTTCATAATCTAATAATTCCTCTTATTACTGCGTAGCCTTAACATTTTTATGATCCAAATCCCCTCAAGCAGGAACTGTTACCACTTTAAGATGTTACAAGTCAAACAAGAGCCAATATCTGGACTAAGTAAACTATCTTTAACATTCTGTGTTGGATTATTTTAAACACATTTCAAATGTGTAACTGCTCTGATATACACTTAAGCATCGCTTTGCCTTGCTTACAGACAGAATATTGTGAAAGCGCATCTAGGGAATAGTGGAAATTCACTATTAATGCAAGTGAAATTAGTCCATTTAGAAAAATGCATAAGAAAACACCTGCACAAAAAATGGAGAAATTCTCAGAGATTTTTAATGTTTTGGCAAGCCATTAGACAATCCCTCCAAACCCTATACTCACAAACCAGATATTTCTTGTATAACACCTAGCACAACTGGAATCCGAGATGACTGAGATCCTGAATCTCATTGCAATGGAAGCATCGGCATCCCCTAACAAAATCTTCATTTGGCTGCTGTACCTACGACTGGATTTGTGCCATCTGTAAAACACTTGAATAAACATACTCTAGGTCTGCAGAATATTACAGTCCAACCTGTAAGCATGCCAAGGAAATACATCAGACAATGCCTGTTAGTGTGATTAACAGGATAAGACATGGCCACATTCTACGAAAATTAAAGAGGTTTAGATGCAGTTATGCTCTGGATCACTGGAAATCAGTGATTTTTTCATAAGCAATGTTACAAATGTTAAAAAAAAAAAAAGCATATTCACCATAACCTCCCTGAAACTGTTACCATTTGTCATACTTTTTTGTTGTTTTTGTTGGAAAAAAATAGTAATTTACAGTTGGAACATGAAATTAATTTCACTTCGGCAGAAAATAGGGGTCACTTTTTAATGCAGGTTTATTAGATGTCTATTAGTATAGTAATAGGTAAAACAAACAAAAATAACTTAGATTTTATGTATTTATTTCTTGATGTCCCTGTCTCTTGCAGTAAGTTGTTCAATGCAACATGTGCAAATGTACTGTCCTTTGTAGCAGAACGTGGCTCTCCTTGTGCGTAAGACTGCAACTAGAAAGCCTAGTGTGTGAGTGGCTACATGTGTAGTCAATGAGACTGGAATATTGCTCCTTTCAGCCTAGACCCTTTTCTTCAATTAAGTGGATAATAACCCAGAATGCAAGACTACCAGTCTGCACAGTCTTGCGTTAAGGATTTTCACAAGAATTTCTGCTATGAATTCAGGAGCACAGGAAGAGAGGGTTCAGGGGTGGCATGACTCCAATGTTATGAACCATGAATAATGCAAAGTGCTATGATATAGCAGGACTGGTATTTTCAGCAGATATAAAGAAATATTAGTGCCACCACGTAAGGCATCAGTAAACCTCACATAAGGCATGGTGCATGTTTCCACTCTTTTGTGTTAAAAAACGTGCACAGGTATGGAAGATGACTAGTGGGGTAATCATGGGAATAGAAATTCTGTTTTACAAGAGGTTAAAAGAATTGAGGACTGTGATTACTCTCTGTAAATACATATGAAGAGTAGATGCCAGGGAGAGACAGAGCTATTTAAGTTAAAGGATAGTACTGGTCCAGGGTCAAAAGAGTGTAACTTCCCCTAAGCCAGGCAATTATGATAAGGTTTCTAACTTCTGGATGGATGAAAATATGGAACAGCCTTTCAGATAAGATAATGGTAGAGGTACTCTAAATTATTTCAAGAAGCTTGCTTACATCGTGGCAGGAAAAGATAACAGCAAAGGAGTGATTCTGAATATTATCAATATGTTTACTATCCTTCCTGTACTATTTATACTGACTTACCTAATTAATCCCACCGTTCAAGGCTTTTGATGATCACCTATGACGAAGAAGGAACTGATTTCTTCCCTTTGCTTCTGAGATTTTTTTCTCTCCTTTCTCTTAATTATTAAAAACTACAGCTTGAGATAAGAATCTGATAACATTGTTAACAAATAAATATCTAATAATCTGTATAATAAACTAAAACCATCACTTTTCCTTTCTTTTCAACCTTGGAATCAATGATAAAAGTGGAGAGGCACAAATTAAGTATTTTTACATAAAGAAAGTCAGACAATGTCTCTTTCCAGTCAAAAGGCACTAATAAAATATTTTTTAATGTTTTACTCATTTTTATCTTTTTAAGAAATCTACGATCCATATTGTGAATCTAAACAACATAAGAATAATCTATTATATGTGGTGTCCTAATGCTAAAAATATGGTGAAAAAAGATTTGTTGTGAGATAGCTGTGAGAGATGATTACAACGGCATTCTTGAAAGAAGAATAACATGTGCAGCTCTCATAGGAAAAAGTGACTTATTTGGAAACAAAGGAGGATGCAATAGCTTTTCCTCTATCCCATCACCAGCTTCTGTCCAGGAGAGAATTAACTCAAGATATTAATGTGCATTAAGAAAGCTCACAGCTGGAATGTTTCTCTAAAGCCTACTGGTTTGCTCCTCCTATATATCTCCTCTTATAACCATATACTCACTCAGCAGATGCATGTGCCAAGCCAGTACGCTCTGGGCTTATGTTGACTTGGAAGTGAGAAGAAAACCACTGTCTGGGGCATTAAGAAACACCACAAATAGAGCGCCGCTCTCCCTGGATTTTAGTGTTAACACAGTGCCCACAGACCATCCTGATGCAGCCATTGGCATCGACCTTAATCACTGTGCTTTGCTGAACTCCTTCATTAAACTCTATTAATAAAAAAAAGAGCTATGTGAAGGATTCAGCTTTCCCCAAGAGTTTACGTTGACATTCTTTCCCTGCTGATCTAAAGGGAAAGAAAAACATATCAAGAAATAATTTTTAAAACAACAGTATAAAAGGTCTGGCCTCCAGTTCCTTTGGGGATTGCAACCGCCTCTGCTGTATGAGAGTCCTGGATGCACATTTCTCCCATCCTACTGCCTGATAAACTAAAATTGCTTCAAAGGCAGCATTTTTTGCAGCATTCCTTTTAGTCAGTTAAGGAGATATTGATGAATTCCAGTAAGAAAATTCAAAACTGAGAATGTCACATCTCCTTTAGCTCTGTTTTGCAAATGACTGGCAAAGAGAGGTTCTGAATCTCCACAGTGGCAGTGGCTGGGCAATAAATCAGAAATACTTTCGTTTTCACCCCCAAAAAATGTTTCTTAGGCAACCAAAATAGTTGTGGCCTTACAAAACTCTGCCTACCACTACGAACGTTAGAACATAAGTTGCTCATTTGAAAAAAAAAAAAAAAGAAAAAAAAGAAGAAAAAAAAAAAAAGAAAAGAAACCTTGAAAAGCTGAAGTAATCTTGGTTTTGGCTTAGAGATGCAATTTAGGTTTCATCCTGACTGTAGAGAAAGACTTTCTGCTCCTGCTCTCTGAGGCTGTACTGATGAGAACTTGGGACAACTGAGTGCAGGAATGAAAAACATGGTGCTACTTTTAGCTGTATGTCCCATGTGGGACTAAATCTGTATGGGACAGGAAAAGATAAGATTTAGGGAGCATTTATTGGCTGGGGAAATAGAGTGTTTTGTCAGATCATTTAATCTCCTCAAAGCAGGGACTGTGTCCTTTCTCTGACCAGAGAGATTCCTAGCACACATTTGATACAGTTAACAGGGTAGATTACTGAGCGTTGCTTTGCTTTCTACCTCTTCCTTAAAAGTAGAAGCCAACAGAATCATTTGGAGAATTCATAATATTCCATCCCTTCTCTGCTCCTACTTCCTAATAATTTTATCTCTCTAAGACAAACCTCTGCTTATACGTGCTTACAAGGTATTCAGTGCTTCTACTCTGGCCCAGCAAAGTACAGACAGATTTAATTCTCTTGCTGGATTGGGATCTGATTCCTCAGTCCAGGTTGAAGCTCTCCTAGCCCAGCTGGTGACAAGATGACAGTAGATTTCATTCCTGAGATTCAACTTTTCATCAAAGCACTCTTAACACATGTTCAGATGCAGCTTAAGAGACTTAGCAACAAAGTGAAAGTCAGGATGACCAGGGCACATTTTGTACTGGAGTAAGTTCCTAAATCACTTAAACAGCTCTGAAAATGCACCTGAATTTCTGGCTATGTGAGGGAAGTGACAGAAGTCAGGAGCGAATGATCCTGACTGGGGGAAACAGGTAAGTACACACTTCCACCTATTCTTATTTAGGAAAACACAGGAATGTTACACTTCATTGCTAGGATTTGAGTGTAGAAATACATGTTTTCTGTCACCGAGGTGATATCGGGAGTAAAGTAAATGTTGAGATGATTCATTAATTTAAGGTGAGAACAGAGGAAGACAGGCAGGGCCGAGAGA